TGATGGTGCCAACTTGGGCCAGTGAAGCAACATCCTTCACAACTAGACTGAAGAACAAAACAACAGCAACTTGTCTGTTCCCCTTCCCCCGATTCCCCAGCTCTGTTCCCCTCCCCCAATTCCCCAATAAAGTCTTTAAAAAAAGAATGTGATAGCAACCATGTAAACTGTGAAAACACACACTTCTAACTGTCGATAATATGTTAGAACTGTCAAAAGGACACACTAGCAAACAATGGTCATAATTGCAAAATAAGAAAATGAAAGCAGCAGCCACATAAACCATGAAAGCTGGCTCCCAATTCTATTTATTCTGAATGAGTACCCATCTAGATAGATATTTAGATATTTGTCTATTCAATAGAATAAATATTCAAAACCAATTCTAAAAGTGGTTTGTTTTCTCATTCAAAAACTAAAAATACAGAAAAACGAGCACCCTATCATGTAGACCAAATTGCTTATGCTCTGTACCCTTTATGTTCACCCCCAAAATAATCACAGATACCTGGAAGTTGGAGAAACAGGACAGAGAGGTCCCAGTACCCTTCCCCTGCTTCCCCGCAAGGCTAACACCTCTACTGGAAGCTGTGAGCTGTCTAAAGGGGGAAAGGGACACATATTCACCTCAAGTTTAAAACATTTTTTTTTAATTTAAAATGTTAAGTGTGTCTTAAACCCTTCCTTGGTTTCAGGGGTCCTGCTGGGGATTACTGATTTTTTTGCCATGTATAATGCGCTCCCATGTTTTTGGCCCAAATTTTCAGGGGAAAAATATTTCATTTTAATTTTTTAATTTAAAATTTTGTTCACATTTGGGCCGGCCGAGTGGCTCAGTTGGCTAAGAGCTCGCTCAAGAGTTTGAGCTCTGAGCAACAGCAGTTCGATTCCTGGCCCGAACTGAGCAGCCGCTGAGCTGCCAACAGGTGGCAGGATGGCTCAGCTTAAAAAAAAAAAAAAAAGCATATTCTAAAATTTTGTTCACATTTAGGTACTTGTTTTTTTGTATTATAAGAGAAATTTAGCATTTATTTTTTAATGTATTATGTTACAAGAAATGTTATGTTACAAATAATTATAAAACACAAGAACAGATAAAAAGTACAAGAAATTTTATGTACCAGCAACAAATTTACGATATTTACTGAATCATAGAAGGCCAAGAACTCTTCATCGTTGCAAGTTTGTCATAAGTTCAACAAAACCAATTATCGTATTCCAGGGTATTATTTTGCATATAGATATCATTATTGATTCCTAGAGTCACACTTTTAACTCATAAGCACAAATAGAAGAATTAAAAACATTTATATAGATACAAAATTAGTACTACCCATGTATAGTGTGCATCCTTATTTTTCCCTCACAAATTAGGGCCAAAAAGTGCACATTATACACAGCAAAATACAGTATATTTATCTCTTGTTCCCAAAATGTATCTGTGCTTCTAGAATAAAGGTGTGAAACCCTGCTCCCACCCCTCCCTGGTGCAAGGATACATGCACATGCATGCATGCACACGCTCATTCTCTCTCGCGCACACATGCACACACACATGCATGCACACACAGAGCCAATTTTCCTGCCCTTGACTCCCACAGTCACTAGAGGGCCTCAGTCAACCAGGCCCAGCTGTGAGAGAGCCCTGATGTTCCATAAATACATTAAATAATAATAATAATAATAACTAGAGAGACCCACATAGGATTTCCAACTTATTATTTTGCCACATGAGAGCATCTTCCTGGAAACCGCCACTTATTTTCACCATCTCATGAAAGCAAGGTGATTTTCACATCCTTCCCCAAACCATAGGAACCTCTTCAGCTCAGAATAAGCCTGTTTCAGAGCCACGCTGCCCTGCAGAACTTTCCATGATAATGGAACTTTCTAGATCTGCGCTGCCCAGTACAGTAACCATGAGCCACCATGGAATGTGGCTGGTGGGGACAGAGGAATTGAATTTTAAAGGTTATTTAATTTTAGTGGATTTAACTCTAAATAACCACCCAGGTTCGGGGCTACCATTGTGGACAGCATGGACATAGGGCCACACGGGGAGGCGGCACGGTTTGTAGGAAGTTTTAAATCATTCTACTGAAATATAAAAAGAGCTTCCTTTGTTTATTTTATAACAGCAGCCCCACACCATATAGATTGGCCATCATTTTGCATATCTCATCTTAAATTCTATGAATATGGACTGGAAACAAATATGAAATGGGAGCCATTGTGATTGTGGGTGGTGGGAATATAGACAATAGTTCATTTTTGAAATTCTTTTCAGTGTTTTTCAAATTTCTTAAGATTTTTTAAAAGTTTTTTTCCCTGTCCCTATTTGTCTCCATTTTAACCTGGCAGTGAAAACTTCCCTGGAGAACCCTGTTGGTGGGAAACCCAAATACGCCCGCCTGCATGCCCACCCACCCTAGGCTGTGTGCCCAGGCACTGGCCCACTTGTCTTCTCTCTTGGGTGGCCTGTAGGGCCAGCCTTCAATTCCACGTTTGCATGCTCAGCCCTCTGTTTCTAGGATCATCACTTGGACATCACTGAGCCAAGTCTGAGAGTTTCTGTGCAAGTCACCTGGCATGTGAACCCATGCCAGCCCTTGGCCACTTACCCACAAAGACCGCCAGGGTGACAATGACAATGCTGGTGGCCACTGCAGCGGACAGGGCTGCTCGGCAGCATGCGGTGTCCTGAGCAGGGACTTCCTTTGTTGCCACGGGCATGAGCTGTAATTCACCAATGGTGGGCTCCATGGCTTCCAGACCCCCGGACAGCCACCTGGATGCCAACAATAAAGGAGCAAAAAAATGGTATCATCACCAGAGGGTGTTTCTCTTTCCCTAAGCCAGGGTCTTACTTGTGCAGATGTGACAGCCATCAATAGTGCCCTAGGCACCAACAGACTCCACTCAAAAAGCCCTAAAAAAAATGGAATTTCAGGGCCAGCCAAGTGGCTCATTGGTTAACAGTTGGCTTGGGAGCACGGGCTCTAAGCAGCAGGGTCGCCGGTACAGATCCCACATGGGCCAGTGACACTGCCCTCTACAGCTAAGATGGTGAACATCAACTCGACCTAGAGCTGGGCTGCTGTGAGTCGCCAGCAACAGTGTAGGCTGCAGTGGGGCTGCAGTGGGCTGCGGTAAGGTATCATGAGTGGCCGGCAGCCAGCGTGAGCTGCCGTGAGCCGCTGTGAGTGGCCGTCCAATGGCCGGCGAGCGACTGCCTCACCCAGGAAGAGCACAATGATAATATCAACATAGGCCAGTGAAGTGATATCCTCCACAACTAGACTGAAGAACAAAAGGACAGTAACTTGTCTGTTCCTCTTCCCCGTTTCCCCAACACTATTCCCTCCCAATTCCCCAATAAAATCTTTAAAAAAAAATGGAATGTTGCCTATAATTTCTATATATTTCTCTCTCTCTATATATATATATATAATATATATATTATATATATAGTCACAGAATATGGAGTACAACATAGGAAATATAGTCAATGGAAATGTAACAGCTATATTCAATGTCAGAGGGGTAGTAGTGGGAGAGGTTATCACTTCGTGAGGGGTGTAAATGTCTAACTATTACATTTTTTTGTACACCTGAAACAGACAAACAAAAAAGCCCTAAAAAATGGATTCAACATGCTGCCTAGGCTGGTGCATGTGGGCTCCCATATGTGGGTCATTGGGGTCCATTTCTGGAAAGAATATGTATGAATTTCCTGGGAATACTGAAACAAATTGCCACAAACCTAGAGCTTAGAGGAACACAGCTTTATCCTGCTTTTTTGGAGGTCAGAAGACATCTCCAAATAGAGGGCTCTGCTCTTTCTGGGAGCTCCAGGGTCTCAGTCTGAGAAAGCAGAGCTGGGAGGTAGTCACAGGCTGAGCCCTAGCACTTTTGCCTCTGAAACTTATCGTCAAGAGCCAACAAATTATCTTTTTCACTTAAGGCAGTTGGTTTCTGCCAGTTGTGACTAGAAGAGCCCTAAGACAGATCCTTGAATGTGTAACCCATTCAGCCCCTGGCTGGATAATTCTCTAATGTTCCCGAGACCAAACCAAAGGCATTCTCAGTCTGCAGAGGAGCTTTTCTCTCCCCAGGTGCATAATCACCTTCATGCTTTCTGCAGAGGTGGCCCTCATTACCCACCGTCTATTTTGGCTCCCAGGGAGCTCCCTGCACTGTGTGGGTGGAGGGTGATTTATATCTGGCCTTGACACATTTTTCCCCATTAGAAAACCACAGCGAAGGAAGCTGAGGGGACAGTTAGATCCTATTTCCCTTGATGGGGCTCCATGAAGGTGCCCACTCAGCCAGGGGCCTCCTGGGAGGTCATGGAGTTGCTTTGGAGGCCCCTAGAGATGGATGGCAGGCCTGGGTATCAGGTAAAACACAGGACACCCCATTAAACTTGAATTTTACATAAACAAAACATAGCTCTGTAGTGTAAATATGTCCCTGGGATAACTGATTTTGTGTGTTCCCTTGACTAGGCTAGAGTGCCCCGTTGTTTGGTTAAACATTATTCTAATGTTGCCATGATGGCAATTTTTAGATGAGATTAATATTTAAATTAGTACATGTTGAGTAAAGCAGGTGACTTTCTGGAATGTGGGTGGGCCGCATCTAATCAGTTGACGGGCTTTAGAGAAAAGACTGAGCTCCCCCAAGGAGGAAGGACTTTTGCCTCCAGACTCCCTTTGGACTCAAGCTGCAATGTAACTTTTCCTGGGTTTCCAGTTTCCCCTGCAGATTTCAGACTTGCCACCTCCATAATAGCATGAGCCATTTCCTAATCTCTCTCTCTCCTCCTCCCTCCCTTCCTCTCTCCATTCTATTGGTGCTATTTCTCTGAAGAACCCTGAAGAACACAGTCCCTAATCAGTATAATTATGTCTTTTGCAATATTTGGAACATACTTATACTTAAAAAAAAAGTATTTGTTGTTTATCTGAAATTCACATTTACCTGAGTATAAATTTCAGTATGTTTACTGTTAAGTCTGGAACCACACACTGGGGCTCAGCCAGAATGTCCCATCCTATCCAGGGAATGTGTCCCTGTTGGGAATGGTTGCTCTGTGCCTCACTGCCACCATCCAGAGCTGAGAAGAAAGGGGAGATGCGTGGGGGTGGTGGGGTGCGGGCCTGGCAGGGAGTGAGGCTACACAACACTTAGCCCTTTATTCTCACATTTGAACTAAGAATCAGTTGATGAAATGTTTTAGGGACAATGACACCAAGATTCACTTCTGTGATTAGGGCTGGAAACTCAAATTTAGTGTATGAGCTCATTGACGTCCTGCCATCCCAAACACACACACACACACACACACACACACACACACACAGTTTGTTCAACCCCAGCTGCCCCTGCTCCCCCCACCCAGTGGGTTTTCTAAGGATCCCTGTGTTCTCTAAATTATCTTGTCATCACCATCATTAGGGCACAGAAGGGGCCCCACTGCTACTTAGCATTGAATATAGAAGCACCATTCACTCACTCTGCCTCTGCCTGGTATTTGCGACCTGGCTGCCCTGTGCTGGGTACCCAGTCTTGAATGAGGCCGATGTCATTCTTTGAGCTCATAAAGCTTAAATCTTACTGGCAAAGACCTAAATAAATTAAAAGCACAGTGTCAATAAGGGCTCCAAAATAGAGATGCATCCATGGGACTAGACAGGAGGTCAGGTGAGGCTTCCTGAGGGAGGAATGAGTTATCTGAGTTCTGGAGGTTAACGAAGAGTTTGGTAAGTGCCCAGTGGAAGGAACAGATGCCCATACAGTGAGAACAAAACATGTCAAAAGCCCTGTGGTGGGAGGGAGGGAAGAAGGGCCAAAGTAGAGAAAGTGTGTCAGTCAGCTACTGCTGCATAACAAATTACCAGAAACAAATCCACAGAGACAGGAAGCAGATGGTAGGGGCAGGGCTGGGGGAGGGGAGGAGAGCGAGTGTTCACTGGGGACAGCGTCAGTTTAGGAAGATGAGAAAGTTCTGGAGATGATGGTGGGGATGGCTGCACAACAGTGTGAATGTGCTTAATGCCACTGGGCTGTGTACTTAAAATGGTTAAGATGGTGAATTTTATGTTACATATAATTAATCATAATAAAAAAGAAAATAATTAAGAGAGATAGATAGATAGAGAAAAATTGCTGGAAACTGGAATGTGAGAAGGGAAAGCACAAGAACCACAGGGGACAATGGGACACACTGGAACTATTTCCACACAGAAATATCCAGAATGAGGGGAGCCAGCAGCGAGTATTTGTGAACAAACAAGGAAACCCAGGAGAAGCTGAGCCAGCACTGCCCCTCGGCATCCCTCACGCGCCAGCACACCCGTGCCCTCGAAGGGCAGAGAAACCTCATCCAGCAGTTGGCAGGCCTGGTGGGGAGCAGATAAAAATCAGGCTACAAAATCTGCCTTTGAACCAAGCAAGGCTCAGAAAAGGTAGTGGCTGTTTGATCCAAAAATTCTGAGAGTGTCTTTGGTGCTTCCATAGAAATGGCATTTTGCTTGGACACTGTGGCAGGCAGAATAATGTCCCCAAAGACATCCCCATCCTGGTACAGGGACCTGTGGACATGTCATCTCACACAGTAAAGGGACTTTGCAGGTGGGATTACGTCAAGGCTCCTGAGATGGGGATGACCCTGGATTACAGGGGGCCCAGTGTCATCACAGGGTCCTCATAAGAGGGAGGCAGGAGGCTCAGAGTCAGGGAGATGGAAGAGGCTGCACTGCTGGCTGTGACGATGGAGGAGGGGCCACGAGCCAGGGACATGGTGCCTCTAGAAGCTGGAAAAGGCTGGAAACGGTTCTCCCAGGGGCCTCCGGAAGGACCAGCCCTGCCCTCACCTGGGTTTAGCTCTATGAGGCCCACTTTGTCATAGCAGCAACGGGAAATTAATACAGGCTCTGTGGGCAATGCTACCCAGTGCTGACTTGGTTGAGAGAGTTGGGTGCTGATCCAGGCATTGGGTACTTGTAGGAAGAGCAACTTGAAAATGGGACCTGCCCTTCCTTCACTGTCCTCTGGGCTTGAGTAGGAGGAATGCTGGTCACCCGCAGACCAACATCTACATTCTGGCTTCAATCTGACTAGTTCTGTGACTCCCTGGCGCAGTTTACCTATTTGGCCTCAGTTATAGCTGGTCATTTATCAGCTTTGACCCTTTGGTTCTAATTTTCTATGGCTTGTAGGTGATAATCTCCTTTTTGTCTTCCCAGAATTCCTTTCTTTGGGGAAGTCATACCCTAATCATAGTGCCCACCCACCTGACCCCATGCCTATCCCCCATCAGTGATTGGTCTCCAATGGACCCAGGCCTGCCAATTATAGTACCCACTCCTTCATCCCATGGGTACCACCTCTCCCATCCTTGGATACTGTAGACCAACCCCTGGAGTCTTCAGTCACTCTTCCTTCCTCCTTCCCCTCCTTGCTGGTCACCTCCAAATCTGGCCACTCTGTTTCCTTCCTCTTCTCCAGGGACCCCACCTACCCATCCCCACTCTCACAGCCTTCACCTTTTCCCTGGACTAATGGTGTTCTTGCTAACTCCAGGCCTTCCCCCACCTATCCATTTTTTTCATACAACTAGAGATATCTGACTACAGTAGGGTATCTCCCCCAGGATGATTCTTCTCCCAGGGGACACTGGGCAACATCTGGTTACACCTGTGGTTATCACAATTGGGGCCCTTCCATAGCTCCTCACTAAGTTCAAATTCTCAGCCCCAACTCCCTCCCCAGCACTACTTGCTC